GCAATACCATTCACTGAAGGAGCTTCAACATGCCTACCATGGGAACGTCGCTATGCACTAATAACAGGACTATGTAGCAATTTTAAAGACTAACAAGATGGTTTATTAGGTGATGAGCTTTCATGGGCCAGACCCACTTCCTCAGATCAAATTGTGGAAGAAAATTGAGAATGAATGACAGTTCAGAGGATTCTGTGCCGGCACTCAGCTGTCATTCATGCTCAAATTCAACACTTTACACTTAGGTTTGAACAAAGACTCTAATTACCATAACCATTACAAAGACAGCTTCCCCAATTATCACCTCTAATATCATTAGCTCACAGACATTTACCTTCCCCCCATCCCCCTTCTGTTCTGAAATGTGATTTGTCCTTTTCATATGTGTTCATTTTTTTAAATTGTATCCTTTGGTATATATGATTGTGACTATTTTCTTCCACTATTTGATCTGAGGAAGTGGGTCTGGCCCATGAAAGCTCATCACCTAATAAACCATCTTGTTAGTCTTTAAAGTGCTACATAGTCCTGTATTTTGTTTCAGCTAGACCAGACTAACACGGCTACATTTCTATCGCTATGAACTAATGTCCATGATGCACATGTAAGCAGGGTCTGTACCACTGCTTCCAACACAGGCAGCTGGAAGAGGAAGGGAGCCCAGGGTGTGGTTATGCTCACTCAGTTGTTTAGCCCTGCAAGGTATTCAGCTGTTGATATGGAAATACAGCGCTTGCTGGAAAGGGGAAGGAATCAGGGGTGTGGTTATGTAAATTCAGTTCAGCCAGTTCTATAGGCCTGATGGATGGTCAGTTGTTGGAATGGAATGTGGAGTATTGTAACTAATTGACTGTTGTGGGGCCACAAGCCATGTTAACCCTAAGGCTACATCTACACTGCAGGCTTCTTGTGCAAGAGCTGTTTTGTGCAAGAGTTCTTGCGCAAAAGGTCTTGTGCAAGAGCGTGTCCACACGGCCATGTGCTTTTGCACAAGAGCATCCATGGCAGTGTAGATGCTCTCTTGCACAAGAAACCCCTGTTGCCCATCCACACTGCCTTCTTGCGCAAGCTTATTCATCGTGGGGAGAGGAATAATTCTTGTGCAAGAAGCCCTCTGTTCTGCGGCCTTACTGTAAATTTACTTGCGCAAGACCATGTGTATAGTGTAGACACTCCGCACGTTTTTGTGCAAGAATGGCTGTTCTTGCACAAAAAACCTGCAGTGTAGATGGAGCCTTTGGAATTGTAAAATATGACCCCAGTGATTGCAGGAGAGACACTGTCATTGCAAAGCGGGTTGGATGGACAAGCCTCCCCCTTTCCAGACTCAAGTGGATTGGACTGGGGGAGGGAAGGAGCTTGAATCAGCAGGCTACATGCCCTCCAGTGTGAGCTGTAAGATTGGTTCAACTTTTTCTTCCCCTCCCTCCCACATCCCTACCTGTTCTAAGGATAGACCTAAAACAGAGTCCATAAGGAGTCTTTTTATTATTTTGAAATATTATTCCGGTGGGAGCTGGAATCTTTTGGCCAGACTAGGTGGTGGCCAAGAGCTGAAATCACTATGGTTTGGCCCAGAGCCAGACCCATCATGGAAGCAGCAGCAGGTGGACAGCAGGACGGCTGGCAGGAGCAAGGGGCTGGCAAGAGTGGCCGGTGAGAGCAGCGGTGAGTGGCCAACGGAGTGAGATGCCCCCATCCCTACCCCACCCCCAAGGGTGGCAGGCATAGGCGTGCGCAGCACATTTAATTAGGGTGAGCACTCAAAGAATTTTTTTAAGTGTACTTTGACCCACCATTAGCCACACCCCTGACCCCTATTAACCACACCCCTGGCCCCCATTAGCCACACCTCTGGAGGTAACCCTCTCCGGGCAAGATCAGCACATGACCAAAAGTAAAAAGTGTTATGTGCCCCCCCCAGGACTTTTCCCACCATCCTCATAACAATAGGGATTAGTTTGGCCCCCACCAACTCCCCCCGCATACAACTATCCTGCAATTGCATAAACCCAAAGTGTGTGACATTAACTGGGGGTGGAGAGGCTGGGGGAAGGGTTCCCTCTAAGAGGTTCCTCCCATGAGGAGAATGAATTTTGTGTTGTGCACCAGAACTGAGTTCATGTGGCTTATTTGGATGTGCCACTGTGGCACCCAAGTTATTAATAAATATCTGCCTTTCCCCTCTGCTGCCGTGTCTCCTCCCCTTGCTCCATCAACTCCCCTGGTGCCTGCTGCCCCCCAGCCCCTCACCCTCCTCTGCTATTCTGACTCCTGCCCTTCTCACTGCCCTCAGCCTTCCTGAGACCTGCCCCCCTCCGCCAGCCCTTCTCTCCTCCCTATGCCCACTCCTCCAGGAGCCCCACTCTGGTCATGTGAGCTACCCCTCCTCATCCCCTCTCCTAACACCTCCCTCTACACACCTGCCCTGCCTCTCTCCTCTAGTGCTGGTCCCTCCCCTGCAGGTGTCTGCCCTTCTGCTTCACTCCCAGAATCCCCTGGAACCTGCACCTTCTCTTACCCCTGAACCCTCCTGGTGCTTCCCCCTTCCCTCATTGACTCTGCCCCCTTTGCCTTCTTTTTCCCTGATGCCCACCCCCTCACCACCCTCTGTTCCCATTCCCCTCATGGCCCTGTGTCCTCACACATGCCTTGCTCTATCCCTGCCTTCCTCATGTCCACCCCTTCTGTCAAGCCTTTTCCCAGCACCTCCCCCTCCAATCCCCAATGCCCTTACCCTCTCCTCTTCCAGCATCACCCTGTCCCCCCTCCCACTGACACCTCCCCTCCTGCCCTTTTCCTCATTGTCTCCACTTCGCCCCCTAGCATTTGTGTCTCCTCTACCCTGTCCCTTTGGTGCCTTCCCCTTCCCCAAGGTTGTGCCCTCAATGAGTGGTGGGATGACAGATAGAACCCACTATTCCTGGCCTCCATAACAAAACCGTACTATCTTTCATGCCGGGAGGGAAACGGAGACCCACTCTGTCAGGGGCTGTTCATTGGGTGGGGAGCAGAGGAAGGACTGGAAGAGGGAGGCATGTGGGAACCACTTTGTCCACACTCATCACACCTCTCTTTATTCTCCCCAGCCGGACCAGCTGTGACTGTAGGGCGATTGATTGCAGCTGAGCTAGCCACCTGACCCCAGGGGAGCCGCAGGTGTTGGAGGGTCCAGGAGGACCAGATGAGGGAGCACACATTCTTTCTCCAGGACATGCAGCAGACGCTGGCCCAGAAAGTCCAGGATGATATGCAGTGGAGGGTCCAGCTGTGGACCGAGCTGCTACAACAGGACAGCAACATGTGTGTGACTGCCCAGGAGCTTCTGACTTACCTGGCACCAGTCCCAGTCCCTGCTCCAGTCCTCATCCTGCCTCCCATGCCTTACCCCCCTCCTGTGTATCCCCCTATCCTTCCAGGAACCCCCATCCCTGAGGTCGCCGAGGTCCCTGCACTCGAGGTGGAAGAAGCACCCGAGCCATATGCCAGTGTCTGCCCCAGCTCTGTGCGTCCCCTCCTACATCCCCATATCCAGGTTCTCAGTCCCCACCCCCTTCCCATATCCAGATTCTCAGCCCCCCCCCCAGTTACTTCTATCCCCCCAAAAAAGCAAACAGTTCTCTTTTCTTTTTCCAAAGCAAAACAGTTGGTTTTATTGAGTCGGCAGCAAAGAGGAGTTGAGGGGGGAAGGGAGGGGTTGTTGTGGGAAAGGCAGATGGGGAAAAGCACAGGCCCCTACTGGGGAGGCCCTGGGGAGAGTTACTGTGGTCCTTCAGAGAAACTCTCCCTGAAGGCCTCCTGAATGCGTACTCTCACCTGATGCGCACCCCCCAGGATGTGCACCTGGCGGACGGTAGCTGTGCATGGCTGCTCAAAGGCCCATCCCTCCCAATTGGCCTCTACCCCCAACCATGGATGGAAGGCCTCCACCCTTCCTCTCCATCATGTTGTGGAGAACACAACAAGCAGAGATCACCAGGGGGATGTTGTGCTCCCCCACATCGAGGTGGGTCAGGAGACACTTGAACTGCACCTTCATGTGGCCAAAGGTGCATTTGGCCTACATGTGGGCCCTACCCAGGCGACCAGGCTGGTCCAGGTGCCCTGTGTAGGGTTTCATCAGCCATGGCATGAGGAGATATAGATATGCGGACAGAGTTAACTCTGGAGCTGATTGCAGGTGTGGGTTCCTGGGTGAGTGTGCTAGAGGTGTGCTGCGTGGGTGCGGGACAGAATTTGTTTCAGGTTGGGGAGTTGTCTGTAGGTGAGGATTGGCCAGTCCCCCAAGGCCTGTGAGAGTGATGTGTCATTTTCCAGGCTAGGTTATAGATCGTTAACAATGTGCTGGAGGGGTTTAAGTTGGGGGCTGTATGTGGTGACCAGTGCTGGCCTGATATTTTGTTTGCTGGGCCTATCTTGAAGAAGCTGATGCCTGGACTCTCTCACACACACAAACTCACAGAGACACTCATCCTCACACGCACACACACACACATGCACGCACTCACCCAAACATGCATGCACACACACACTGTCCCATCAATCGATGTTATATTATACTTACCAGCCCACAATCTGTGTCTCCCAGGTGGCCAACTACAGTGTGCATGGATAGGAGTGGGGTTCTACCTGTCCACCCTGATGCTCCGGGCTGGACACTCCTGGCAGGATATACCCAAAGTTTCATAGAATCACAGAGCACTAGAACGGGAAAGAACCTTGAGAGGTCATCGAGTCCAGTCCCCCGCCCTGCTGTAAGGAAGGGATGTCCAATGAATGACTATGCATTCATTTGACACCTCACACAAACTCCTTTGTTTAGACTTCGGGGCAAACAACCCCCCATGGGCGCAGCAGTGATATGGTTGCTCCCGTGAAAATCCAGTAACATGAAAAAAGGGTTCCAAGTTCTAAGACTATCCAGTCAGTATCTCAGCACCACGTCAGTAGCCAACTTTGTGTGCCACTCAGTCTGACAGCCAGGGCAGTATCAGAAAGCGTCAGTACCCTTTAGGAGGAAAGAGTCGGAGAAGCATCTCCCAGATCTGTTTGGTCCTCACTCCATAGATGATGGGGTTCAGCATGGGGGGCAGCAAGAGATACACGGTGGCAATGAGAATGTGGAAATACATGGGAACATTCTGGCCAAACCGGTGTGTGAGGAAGGAGAAAAGAGAAGGGATGTAAGAGCATGAAATGACACAAAGGTGGGAGCCGCAGGTCCCAAAAGTCTTGAGCCGGGCATCCTTTGTGGGCAGTCTGAAGATGGCCCTGAGGATCTGAGTATAGGACACAGCGATGAAAAACAAATCCACACTCGCAACAAAAAATACCACAAACAGGCCATAGTAATTGCTGATGCGGGTATCGGAACAGGCCAGCTTCACCACAGCCATGTGCTCACAGTATGTGTGGGCGATAATGTTGGTGGAGCAATATGGCCGCCACCTCGCCAGGAAAGGATGAGGCAGTATGAGAATGATCCCACGCAGCACCACAACCAGGCCAATCTTGGCAACCACTGGGTTTGTCAGGATGGAGGAATGTCTCAGGGGATGGCAGATGGCCACGTAGCGATCAAATGCCATGGCCACAAAGATCCCAGACTCCATTGCAGTGAAGCAGTGAGTGAAGTACATCTGGGTGAGGCAAGCATCGAAATCGATCTCCTTGGAATTGAACCAGAAAATCACCAGCATTTTGGGCAGGATGGATGTAGACAGGACTAGGTCGGTGGCAGCCAGCATGCTGAGGAAATAGTACATGGGCTCATGGAGGCTCGGCTCCATCTTCACAATGAACAGGATGGTGAAGTTGCCCAAGATGGCCATGGCGTATACGATGGAGTACGGAATGGAGAGCCAGGCATGGGCCGCCTCCAGTCCAGGGATACCCAGTAGGATGAAAGTGGAGGGGTTGGTGAAGTTGGTGGTTTTGGAATCTGACATGAAGTGGGGGAGAATGTTTCCAACTCTGAGGCAGAAGCGAGTCCTGTGAATGTGCCCCACGTTCCATATGTGCCCAGGTTCTGGGGTGATGTTTGCAGTAGACACACCCTGGGTGGAGAGAAAAGGTTAATATGAGATACTCCGTGCACTGCAGAAAGCTGTTCTCATGGGTGAATCGAACTGATTACCCACCACATACTGAAAATGACATTTTTATTCTTCAGACAAACCAATGAGGAACAACTGCCAATTCCATATTTCATGGTCTCTATGTATCAGTAACTCCTCCACATTGAGACATGGAAAATGAGTGTTACCCCTCATTGTTCTTTAAAGCAATTAATTCAGATTATAGCAGGTCTACTCAACTTTAGAAGCCCGTAGGGGCCACAATGATACTCACAGTGCATGCCGAGTGCTGTAACTTAAGTGTAGCTGTATATATATTCAAATATATATGCAAATATAGGCAAATATCTTCTTTCACACTGACAGGGCATGAATACGAAGATTAAGGCAAGACTACATAACATTCAGTCCCTATATAAGTCAGTTCTGCTGATATTGATAAAATGCAACATTTATCTAACTTCCACCCATATGACAGCACTTTGAATGAGCAATGACAGTCCATGAATTGAACTTCTAAAACGTATATCAACAAAAGATGGTTATATTGGCTATTTTTTTGTATTGGCTCCCACCCGTGGGCTGTGCATTGAGTAGCCCTGGACTAGAGAGTCTGTGCTTTATGACGTTCCCCATCATCCCCGCTGCTCAAAAAAAAAGCCCAAGCCTGAGAGTAGACAAAAAGCCCAAGTTTTTGCCAAGGAGGAAACGTATTAGCTACAGCACACCTCAGGGGAAAGACTTTGGTGTCACTGATAGCTGCTCCATGGAAACACCTGCTCATTTGCAGTAGTGGGAGAAACAAAGACAATGTTCAGATCCTTAAATAGAACAGAGAGAAACCAGCTCTGGGCACGTGCTCTGCTGCGATCACCCAACGTGTATAACTGATAGAGCAGATAGAAAGTGGACTTGTGAGACAGGGTGTGGGCGCACGCAGGTGCATGAGCCCATTGAGTTTAGAGAATCAGAAAATCATAGAACTGGACGGCACCTTGACAGGTCACCAAGTCCAGTGTTGATCATCTCTCAGATGGGTTTGTCCAACCAGCTCTTACATATCTCCAGTGATGGAGATTCCAAAGCTTCCTGGACAATTTATTCTGGTGTTTAACCACCCTGACATTGAGGCAGCTTCTCCTCAGGTCCAACCCTTGCTGCAAATTAAGCCCTTTGCTTCTTGACCTAGCCTCAGATGTTAAGGAGAATACTTTTTCTCCCCCTGCCTTTGAACAGAATTTTAGATAGTTGAAAACTGTTATGTCCCCTCTCAGTCTTTTCATTTACATACTAAATAAACCATGTTCTTCCAATCATCCCACATAGGTCATTTGTTTATTAAAATCAAGGGACATTCAAAAAAAAGAGTGCATGCAATTTTTTAAATAATTGGTAAAGATTCCAGATAAAAAGGGAGGAGTGTACAGTAGTATCCATAGAGTACATGAAAAATGGATTAAAAACCAAGTGGAATGGCTCAGAAAACAGCGGCCAATGGGCCATTCTGCATGGATGGGGCTGTTACTAGTGGTGTGTTCAGTTCAAGGCCTGACTCTCTTGAATATTTTCAGCAGTGATCTGGAAGCACCTAGAAACTCACTGCAGATACAATTCATGGAAAATCCAACGCCAAGCAGACTGGTTGCCATGAGGGACCTAGAATGTTGAACGGCCGTGTAGGGGAGAAGGGGCCCTGCACTTACCGGCTATCCCGTCACGCCCATGATTCCCTGGTTCCTCTCGAGCAGGAGAGCTGCTAGCAAATGAGGGGCAGCTGAAATGGACGTGTCTCCCGCCCACAGAGCCGTGTCCCACGTCGGTCTCACCCCGGCATCCGCAGCAGCACCTCACACTGAGAGCCGACACAGCGGTGTGCTCTGTATCTAATACAGCTCTGTGCAATCCCTGCGGGGTTTGGGCAGCCTCTAGTGGAGAAGCGGCATCTGGATATAAAGTGGATGGAGCCCAGGCTGTCTGGGCTTCTGGGCTATTTATCCAGCCTTAGAAGTAAACAGCAATTAAGGCCCTTCCCAAGGGGGAGGAGAACTCCTGGGCTCTGGGCTGAGTCTAACAAGTCCGGCTGAGTCCGCTGAGTCTCTGGGCATTTGTTTATAGCTTAAAATGTGATTAGTTAGTAAGAAAACTTGGGCTAATGCCTGGGACTCTATGGGGCCTGGTCCCCTGGAAATGCCCAGGAGGGCTGGGTAGAGAGGAGACAGGCAGATCGAGAGACGGATGACTGAGGGGAGATCCGAACACTTTCTGCCTGCTCCTGCGGCTCTTGCTCAGCTTACACAGTGGAAAACTGCAGGGTGGGGTGGTGGGCAACCGTAATGTGGGGATTTGGCTCCCACCTCTGTCGTAGAATCCTAGAATCGGTAGGACCTCAAGGGGTCATCAGGGCCAGTCCCCTGCCCTGGCCTCTGTCATTTATTCTGTGCTGCCAAATGAGAGCCCCGTTGGATGTGCAACCGTGAGCCCCTACCCTATATTGGGCTGTGTGCTGAGGGGGACTGAGCGCAACATCACCAGCTGCCTGTGGCCCATCTTGGACACTGTCATGATCATGAGAGATGGCCAGCAGCCTGGGGACTAAGGGGTTAACTGTACCCAACCCAGGTGGAGTGGGCCAGTAGGAATGTAGGTAGGAATTTCAAACTGGGACAAAGGAATGTTTGGTGTTTCCCTCCTTTGTCCTGGGCAGTTCCTCTCCAGCTGGGGAGGGGGGCAGACAGAATGTCTCCCTCCAAGAACAGACTCCTCACTCTCCTGTAAGTAGGGCAAAGTTTAGATAAATCCGTTTGGTTTTATTGTTTTCTGGGTTGGGAAATGGGATCTGATGTCTGTGCACTTAAAATGGGGTTTTCTCTCTTTTGCAACTAAGTTTGGGCCCATGGTGGAATTCCCCATCGGTATGTTACTTTGTGACTTTACCATCCAGTCTTATGCTTACAATAAGCATATTGTGGTGATAATAAAAGTTCTTTCTCTTTTCTGTTTATTAAGCTGATATTGGTTAATTTTGGTATCTTGGTTTGTACTTTAGGGGTGAGATTTCCCAAGTGATCTCCCCCCTGATGTTCTTATCCTGACTTGCGTGGTGGCAGTGGATTTTATCCCCAAAATCTAGGTTTTTCAGATTTTGGAGGGAAGTTTTATACCAAAGCCTGGAGAGATAAGGTTTTGGGGTACTCTTGCTGGCCCCCACTTCTGCATTCATCATGCCAGAGTGAGGAAGGAGACACATAACATGACAGACACATCTGAGCCCATTATCAAGCCTGGTCACCTGCTCCATGTAAACCTCTCGATGCTTCTCCGACAGAGCCTTAGAATTATTGGATCCTAGAATCCCAGGGCTGGAAGAGACCTCAGGAGTCAACGAGTCCAGCCCCCTGCCCAAAGTAGGACCCACCCCAACTCAATCATCCCAGCTAGGACTTTGTCAAGATGGCTCATTTTGTCATATACTCTGTATTACTGTGTAGCATGAGTGGAGGTGGTGTGTGCATGTGACAGCCAGCACAGATGCCCAGACGGTCAAGAAGAAGTGGACAGCTTAAAGAAACAGCTATCGTGGCTGAGGCTGAATTCGGTCCTGCAAGCCAAGCCTCAGAGGGACCCTTACTCAGGCAGCCAGGCCAATAAGACTGATATGAGGCATGACGGACGGTAACTATACATCATCTGCAGAACGTGTGTGAATGCATATGCTCTCTTTCCAGTTTGTATTCCCAAAAGACATAGGGTGCTGCCTTTTCTTCAGAGAAAGATCCCATGTGCTTCTTACACCTGGTGGAAGACATGGAGGCCTGGCCGAAGACCTGGGTCCAAGTCTGGAGGTTTTGGGGTCCAGTGCAAAACATTGACCAGTTCCCTACTTGGTCATGCTAACGTGGAAGAGAGAAGTCAGAAAAGGGTTCTAAGCCACTGAACCTATCCAATCAGTATCTCAGCACCATGTCAGTAGCCAACTTTGTGTGCCGCTCAGTCTGACAGCCAGGACAGTATCAGAAAACTTCAGCCCCCTTTAGAAGGAAAGAATCTGAGCAGCGTCCATAGATGATGGGGTTCAGCATGGGGGGCAGCAAGAGATACACGGTGGCAATGAGAATGTGGAAATACATGGGAACATTCTGGCCAAACCGGTGTGTGAGGAAGGAGAAAAGAGAAGGGATGTAAGAGCATGAAATGACACAAAGGTGGGAGCCGCAGGTCCCAAAAGTCTTGAGCCGGGCTTCCTTTGTGGGGAGGCTGAAGATGACCCTGAGGATCTGGGTGTAGGACACAACAATAAAAGCCAAATCCATACTTGCAACAAACAGTGCCACAAAGAGGCCATAGTAATTGCTGAGGTGAGTATCAGAACAGGCCAGCTTCACCACAGCCATGTGCTCACAGTATGTGTGGGCGATAATGTTGGTGGAGCAATATGGCCGCCACCTCACCAGGAAAGGAAGAGGCAGAATGAGAATGACGCCACGCAGCACCACAACCAGGCCAATCTTGGCCACCACTGCGTTTGTCAGGATTGTGGAATGTCTGAGAGGATGGCAAATGGCTATGTAGCGATCCAACGCCATGGCCACGAAGATCCCAGACTCCATTGCAGTGAAGCAGTGAATGAAGTACATCTGGACGAGGCAGGCATCGAAGTCGATCTCCCTGGAATTGAACCAGAAGATCACCAGCATTTTGGGCAGGATGGATGTGGACAGGACCAGGTCGGTGGCAGCCAGCATGCAGAGGAAATAGTACATGGGCTCATGGAGGCTCGGCTCCATCTTCACAATGAACAGGATGGTGAAGTTGCTCAAGATGGCCATGGCATATACGATGGAGTACGGAATGGAGAGCCAGGCATGGGCCGCCTCCAGTCCAGGGATGCCCAGTAGGATGAAGGTGGAGGGGTTGATGAAGTCGGTGGTGTTAGAATCTGACATGGAGTGTGGGAGAAGGTTTCCAACTCTGAGGCAGAAACGTGTCCTGTGAATGTGCCCCATGTTCCATATGTGCCCAGGTTCTGGGTTGATCTTTGCAGTAGACACACCCTGGGGGGGAAGAAAAAGTTAATATGAGATACTCCGTGCACTGAAGGAGGCTGTTCTCATGTGTGAATAGAACTGATTGCCCACCACTTACCGAAAATGACATTTTTATTCTTTGGATAAACCAATGAGGAACAACTGCCAATTCCATATTTCATGGTCTCTATGAATCAGTAACTCCTCCACATTGAGGCATGGAAAATGAGTGTCACCCCTCATTGTTCTTTAAAGCAATGATACTCACAGTTCATGCCAAGTGCTGTATCTTAAGTGTAGTTGTATATACATGCAAATACTTATGCAAATATAGGCAAATGTCTTCTTTCACACTGACGGGCATGAATACAAAGATTAAGGCAAGACTACATAACATGCAGGCCCTATATAAGTCAGTTCTGCTGATACTGATAAAATGCAACATTTATCTAACTACCAGCCATATGACAGCACTTTGAATGAGCAATGACAGTCCATGAATTGATGTACTAAAATGCATATCAACAGAAGACCGTTATATTGGCTATTTTTTTGTGTTGGCTCCCACCCTCGGGCTGTGTGTTGAGTAGCCCTGAACTAGAGAGTCTGTGCTTTACGATGTTCCCCATCAACTCCACTGCTGAAAGCCTGAGAGTAGAGAAAAATCCCAAGTCTTTGCCAAGGAGGAAACATCTCGGCTACAGCACACATCTGGGGGAAGACCTCTGTGTCATTGAGAGCTGCTCCATGGAACCACCTGCTCATTTGCAGTAGTGGGGGAAATGAAGACAATGTTCAGAATCTTAAATAGGACAGAGAGAAACCAGCTCTGGGCCTGTTGAGAGTCTGTGGGTTAAGTTTAAAGGAGCAAACAACAGCAGTGATGTTGTGGTTGGTGTCTGCTACAGGCCACCAAATCAGGTAGATGAGGTAGATGAGGCTTTCTTTGGACAACTGAGAGAAGCTTCCAGATCGCAGGCCCTGGTTCTCGTGAGGGACTTTAATCACCCTGACATCTGTTGGGAAACCAATACGGCAGTACACTGGCAATCCAGGAAGTTTTTGGAGAATGTTGGGGATAACTTCTTGGTACAAGTGCTGAAGGATCCGACCAGGGGCCGTGCGCAACTTGACCTTCTGCTCACAAACAGGGAGGAACTAATAGGGGAAGTAGAGGAGGGTGACAACCATGGGAAGCAGTGATCATGAGATGGTAGATTTCAGGATCCTGAGCAAAGGAAGAAAAGAGAGTAGTAAAATACACACCTTGGACTTCAGAAAAGCAGATTTTGACTCCCTCAGAGACCTGATGGGCAGAATCCCCTGGGATGCTAACATGAAGAGGAAAGGAGTCCAGGACAGCTGGCAGTATTTTAAAGAAGTCTCATTGAAGGCACAGAAAGAAACCATCCCGACACGTAGCAAGAGAGGCAAACATGGTAGGAGACCGGATTATCTTACAGGGGGAATCCTTGGTGAACTTAAGCACAAAACGGAAGCTTACAAAGAGTGGAAACTTGGACAAATGACCAGGGAGGAGTTTAAATGTATAGCTCGAGAATGCTGGGGAAGGCGAAAGCGCAAATGGAATTGCAACTGACTAAGGATGTGAAGGATAAGAAGAA